TCAATCATTTTAAGCATATTCACAGAGTTGTGCAATCATCGCCATAATTTGAGAACATTTTCATCCCAAAAGAAATGGATCCTTCAGCAGTCCCTTCCCTTTTCTCCTGACCCCCCGACTCCCCTGCAAACGCTACACAGACACTCATTTACATTTTGTCTCTACAGATTTTCCTATTCTGGACATTTCCTATAAATGGAATCATACATTATGTGGCCTTCCGTTAGTGGCTTTTTTCACTTAGCATAATGTTTTCAAGTTTATCCATGTTCTAGCATGTGTCAGTACTTATTTTCTTTTTATTGCTGAATACTATTCCAGTGTATGGATACACCACATTTTATTTATTCACTCATCAGTTGATGGTCATTTGGGTTGTTTCCACTTTTTGGCTTTTATGAATAATGCTGCTTTGAACATCTGTGTATAAGTTTTTGTGCGGACATATGTTTTCATTTCTCTGAGGTATATAACTAGGAGTAGAATTGCTGGGTCATGTAGTAACTCTGTGTTTACTCATTTGAGGACTCTCTAAGGTTTTTTCCAAAGCAGCTGCACCATTTTACATTCCCACCAGCAGGACATGAAGGTTTCAATTCCTCCACATCCTCACCTACACTTGTTATCATCGGTCTATTTTGATTATAGCCATTCTGGTGGGTGTGAACTGGTTTCACATTGTGGTCTTTATTAACTTCTAAGTTGGACCACCTCAAACATACTTTCCAAACCTAGTGACACCTATCCAATTATCTTCATGTGACACAACGACTGACAAAGAAAAATGAGAGCCAGGATTTGAGGAGGTAGACATGAGACAGGTGGTGGAGAAAGGGAGGGAGTTTGGGGTATTGCCAGAGACGCAGCTGGGACTTGATGCCAAAAGGGTTGAAGGGCGTCCAACGACATCCAGACTCCAGCAGAGAATAGAGCTCAGAGGAGTGTCTGAGTGGAGTTGGTTACAAATGTATCTCCTTTCTGGGACTCTTCCATTATAAAGAATACAGGGCTGTTGAATAAGCAGAATCACATTTGGCATTTATGATATTAAGTGAAAAACAGTTAAATATAAACTTAAATCTGTGCTAGGATTATGGCCATATAAAACATGTCTGTGTGTAGATAAGCCCCAAAGAGAACAGGGAAAAATAAACAATATTTGTGTTAGGGAGCTGGAATGGTGGGGTTTAAGACAATGTTTATTTCTTTATCTTTTTTCCTTTATTGCTATATTACTGTTTGTGCAATACCTAGACATCAGGCAAAAAAAAAAAAAGATTCACATTAGCAGCCCCTCACTGCCTTATCAGCCCTCTAAACGTCTTCACGCTTCAGCCACACTAAACCTCTCATCGGTCTCAGACATGTCTGATCTTTACTGTGGCTCTGCACCTTGCATATGCCATCCTCTATCCCTGGAATGCCCTTGGCCCCAGCGCATCCTCTGCCAAATTCTTCCTTGTTCTTTTTAGCCTAGCTCAAATGTCGCCTTCTAGGAGGCCATGTTCGTGGGGTCTCCCTGGAAGAATGGGTCACCCTTTCCTCCATCCTCCTGCTACTCAGAGCTTCGACTTCTGTTTCAGCCAGCAAGGGGCCTGACACGCGGTGGGTTATTGTTGGAGATGGCGCGTTGTTCCCTCCTTTGTAGCTCCTCCTCTCAAGAGGTGGAGTCTGTTTCTCCACTCCTCACTGGCCCTCCTGCCTCTAGACTCCACATGTTCCCTCCAGTCCATTCTCCGCAGTGGAGCCTGTGATTTTTACCCCGTTCGAGTCTGATCATATTCCTGCTCTTCAGTGGTTTCCATTACCCTTGGAAAGAAGTCCATGCCCTTTAATGTGACAGTTGAGGCCTGGATGGAGCTGGCCCTGCTGGTCTTTCCAGGCTCACCTCTCTTAGCAGCTTACACTTCTCCAGGGACGCCATGCCATCTACTGTTGCCTCTGCTTGGAGCATAGCCCCCTCTCCGCGCTTTTGGCTATCTTCTGCTCAACGTTCAGGTTTCAGCTAGACCTTACCTCCTCTGGGAAACCTTCCCTCACTGCACCCCCTAAGCCTGACTTAGTTAATCCTCCTCCTGTGTATGCCCGAAGCATCCTGACAATCTAACCTTTATCACAGCGCTTTTCACTTTCTGCAACTGTCTCCATTACTGGACTGTAGGCAACTGGAGGGGCCCCAGGGGGCTCGGCACAAAGTGGGGTTCATTAATATTTGGGGATTCACTGAATATCCCCTAGAAGCCCTGTATTGTGATTGTCTATCAGCCCCAGCGAGCATCTTGAGGGCTGAGGGATATAGCGTGTATCTCCATGTTCAGCACAGCACGTGGCCCATGAGCTGTGTGCTACATCGAAGAGCAAGATGGTGACTATTGCTGTAGTGAGAAGTTCTGGAGCTGGGCAGCAGACAGGAACAGCAGTGCGTACAGTTAAATGTGTAGAATGTACTCTATTCTAACAGCAAGTGAACAGGAAGTGTAGAAACAAACTGATGGGAGCCCAGGTCTCCTAAAGGAGCTAGCTGATTGAATGAGATTCATTGCAGATTCATTTCCCCCGCTAGTTATTGTCAGAACATTGTTAGGTCGGATATTTCAAAAGAGAGAAAAAAAGTCTTTGGTTTTCTCACCAATTAGCCTTTGACAATTCAACTCCCTATATTCGTCTGTAGTACCAGTTCTTAACTGAAGGTTGTAAAAGTCCTAGGCTGTCTAGCCCAGTAATTCCTGCCTGGATGCGTCAGAATCGGAACTCTGATTTGATAAATCTGGTATTGTGTAAGTCACAACTGAGGCTTAAATCCTCATAGCTGTTCTCCTTGAAAATCTCCAGGGACTGGGAACTCACTATCTACAATGTATCACATTCTGCTTCTGGAAAGACATTAGGAGAGCCTCCCTTATATTGAGCTGAAATCTATCTCCTTGAAACCCTCCACTTGGTGCTAGTTTTCTCCTATAAAGTATAGCTTTCTTTGCCTTTTTCCATATGCAAATCCTTCAGCTCTATAAAGGGCATCCTGTCTGCCCCTCCTCCCGCTTTGCTAGGGCCTCCTCCTAGATAAACCTCTCCTGTTCTCACAACTATATCTCACAGGAAACGATCTCTAGGCCTAGCGAGTTTTGTTTGTAATTTCATTAAAGTGCTGAGCACCATGGGGCCCGCCCTGTGGCCGAGTGGTTAAATTCGCATGTTCTGCTTCAGCAGCCCGGGGTCTCGCCGGTTCAGATCCTGGGTGCGGACCTAGCACTGCTTATTCAGGCCATGTTGAGGCGGCGTCCCACAGAGCAGAGCCAATAGGACTTACAACTATGTACTGGGGGGCTTTGGGGAGAAGAAGAAAAAAAAACGTGCTGGGCACCACAGCATGGACAGACCCATCCAGGAGAGGGAGGGAGGGTCTGTCCTTTCACCTTGCCATTCTTTCTTTTTATCTGGCCTGTGAGCACTTCTAATTCACAGCCAACTTGTGTTGGCTTAGGGTGAAATTAAGATTACCAAAGCGCACAGGTCTTTCCACATGAAAATCATTCCTTATCTGCTATAAATCTGAAGCCAAAGTAATTGGCTTTTATAATCAACACCTGGCATTTGTCCTTGTTAGATGTTATCTTTTGGTTCTAAACCAATTCTTTCTACACAGGAAGCAGTAGGCCCAGAAGACGGAGCTCTCACAGCCCCTCTCCGGAGGAATCGGGGCAGGTTAGTTATCCACTGGTTTCCCAGTTTAGGGAGCAGTCCCGTGTGGCTACTTGTTCGTTAGATGACAGTCTGCCTGCCTTTCTAATCAAATCATAACTGCTTCCATTCGCTCCTGCATGGTCTTGTGCTGCATGTGTTGCCCACATGATCTCATTTAGCCTCTGCAGCCACCCAGAGCACACCCTGCTGCGAAAGCTGAGCTAGTGATTCTTGTGTTCTGGATGCATCAGATTCACCCGGGAGTACTTTTAAATAAAAAAAGATCTCAGGCCTTAGCCCCAGAGATTCTGATTTAGTAGGAATGAAGTGGGACCAGGAAACTTGTCTTTTTCAAAAGTTTTCTCAGTGATCCAGTGCACAGCTGTGTTTGGGAGCGACTGTTCTAGTTAGGAGCTTATACCTGCTTGCCTCCTGAACAAGAGAGCCTGGGTCTGATTCACCTTCCTCCCTCTAGAGCTTGCTGCAGCAGAAGCCCTCAAGGATGATGTGCCAGTTGCACGTTCAGGTGCACCACAGGTGTCAGGAGAGCGAAGATGTCCAGTATTGTGAGTCCTGTAGCTTTCTGAAGGCTGGGCATGAAAGCAGCCTTCTCTGAAGCTCAGATGGGCTAAACTGGGAAAGGGCTCAGGCCAGGGAGATGTGGCTTACAGAGGAATGGGGACAGCATTGTGAGATGATCACTCCGGCTGCCTTGGCAGACAGCCTGGGTGCCTCTGCCCTTTCTGGGAAACAACATAAATGACCGTTGTACATGAGGACTGCAGCCTAACCTTACCCAACCTTCATCTCATTGTTATTCACTACAAGCCACATTTTTACACAGAGGCCTAGTTAAGAAAAATGCTATTGGATAAAGACGGTATCTTCTGAACAGCTATTCAGGGGTAAAGTAAGAAGAGCATACTGAGGACATGGAATGTCCAAACGAGAGACAGTAGGACTTAGGACTCATCCAGTCTCATCCTCCACTGTCCCCACTTCCAGGAGCTGTAACGTCTACTACCTGGCAGGAGACTGCTGTCCTGGAGTGCGGGGCAGGGAACTAACCTTCCTGGTGATGATGGGCAGGGCTCAGACACACCACCACCATTCTGACTAATCTCAGTGAGTAACATGTCAGAGCTAAAGTGCCCTCATTCTTTAGAGGGAGAAAATGGAGTCCTGAGAGGGGACATACTCGCCTAGGGGTCTACAGTGAGTCACACACTCAGCCCAGGGCTCTTCTACCCCAAAACACTGCTGGACCAAAGCGATCAAGATAACTAACTCTGGAATAGACTTTTGTACGCAGAGTGAAGTAGGGTTCGAATGTTACTTTATTGCACAAAGTTAAACAGTTGCCCCAGCACCGTTTCTTGATGAGTTGATAATTTCCCCACTGATTTGCACTACCACCTGTCATTAACATTTTCATGCATACATACATGGGTCTATTTGTGTATCACAGTGGCGTGACCATGCTGGCCTAACTGCCACTGCTTTATAAATACATCATGGTATCCGGTAGAGGAAGTCTCCCACCTGTGTTCTATCATATAGATTTCAGAATCAACTTAAGGTCTGTTTTAAAAAGTTCAGATTTCAATAAGAATTTTATAAATACATTTGTTGAAAATGATCTTTACAATATGCAGTCTTCCTAGCTATCAATATAGTATAGGTCTTCATTAATTTAGGCTTTCTTCAACACCTTTCAGCAAAATTTAATAATTTCCCATTAAAGTGTTGAACATCTTTGATAGACTTCATTCCTAGTTACTTTGGGGGGTTTCTCGTTGCTATTATAAATGGTACTTTTTCTTGAATTGTATTTTGCACATTGCAGTGTACTGGAATGCATTTGATTTCTGTATATTGATCTTAAGTCCAGCACTTATTAATGCTTTTGGATTTTCTGAGCGGAAAGTCATAATCTGTGAAAAATGAGTTGTTTCTTTCTTTGCAATCCTTTTGCCTTACTTTCTCTTCTTACCACAGCTGGGTGGGTCCTCCAGCACAGTATCGAGGATATCCTCAGCTTGCCCTGATCTTCAGTGGAATACTGCAGACATTTCATTTGCTCTAGGTTTTCTGTTGATGTCCTTTCTAAGGTTAGGGTAGTTTCTTTCTATTACTAGTTTGCTAAGAGTTTCTATGGTTTGTTGTTTTTGTTGTTGAATTTAACTGAATACTTTTTCTGCCTCTATTGTTATAATCTATTTTATTTTTCCTTTAATCTGTTAATGATTATTTGGGTTCCCCTACCTCCTGAAAGATGAGAAAATAATTTAAAATATAAAGAAAACCTTTAGACCCTTTCAGTGTTTTCTTTATGAGGTTAACACACACTGACTGGTACAGAGACTAAAGACCAGAAAGGCTGCTTACCCAGCCTAATGCTTCCACATATTTGCTTCCAGGCTGGACAGTGGCCTGCACTCAGTTGGGTCGGGGGAGGTGGGGGTAGGCGCTGGTAGACCTGTTGGCTGAGGGAGGGCCAAAGCAGCTCTGCTCTGTTAGGTACAGAAAAGAGCAGGTCCAGGGGCCGGGAACACAGGAGACCTAGAGGAAACACGGCATGGCTGCCAGACTGCAGAGGCCTCTTCATCACCCCTGGACACGGCCAGCTTTACCTGAGATCTGAGGATCCCCTTCCTAGTGCCCTACTACTAGCCTGGGAGTGGGCAGACCCTTTCCCAGTGGGCCACTCAGAAAATGAAGATACTGAAGAATTCCAGGCTCCAGCAGAACACTGGAGAGACTCATAACACGTTTTCCAAGTGGTGGATTCACCAATGTGAAGGTGTGAGCATGCCCTCATGTCCTGACTGCACTGAACAACTCTGTCCACTGTGTGTAGGACCTTCAGTCCCAAGGAACCAGGCCCAAGAGACTTAGAGGGCTGTGAGTGCTGTCTCCACATCTCCAAAGGGCTGATCAGGGCGCACAGAATACAGAAGTGTGGCCACAACGAGGACAAACCAGGACTAGCAGGAGGAGATACAGGGAGCAGACACTGACTTAACATAAGGATGAACTTTCATAGTGACTTCTCTGATGGAGGGGAGTCTCCCATCACAGCAAGTGAGCAGAGAGCTGAGGACCATCTGGATGGAGTTCTGTAGAGCAGATTCATGCCAGGACTGGACTGCTGGTCTCTGAAGTCCCTCTTAGCTCTGGAATATGAAGTGATACCAGCTAACAGATACTTGGGTTTACTTGAGAGCCAAGCTGGTCAATGCAGTGTTTTGGCTTAGGACTTTTGGGCTCATGGCATCATTCCACAGGCTCAGCTGCCCTTTGACACCTTGGGGCCTCTGGGTTGACCTGCCCATTCCCCAAGAGCTGGAGATCCCTCAGGAGCTGTGTGCTCCTGCATATTTTGCAAATTGGATCAGGCGTAAGATTCTATACTGTGGGCAGGTGCCAGGAAGCAAAGACCTCCAACATGAATTCTTATTTGTAGAGAGGGTGGCTGCTACCTGACTCTCCCTTCATGCACAAATGCAGCACAAACAGGGGCTTTATTGGCAGGGCTTGGGAAGCTGTGATAGAGCCTGGCATGCACACTGTGAGGGCTTGGAGAACGGCCAGGAAACGAGGGATAAGGGAACCAGCCTCAGTGGGCTCTGCTGCTTGGGGCACATTGTCCCTTCTCAGTTCTTAGAGGCAAGTGTGCAGGAAGAGGGTTCAGCACTTCACAAACTGGTGGGTGACCTCGTAGATTCCCACAGACTCCTGAGCCTTTTCGTCATAGTCAGTCCAGTCCTGCGAAATAAAACGGCAGTGTTAGCCTCAGGAGGCAGCCTAGGGCAGTGTGGAGAGTGGAAACTGGGACTTAAAAGGCCCAGCTCAGGCTCTGACTCAGATATTCATGAACACGTATGACCCAGAACAGAGCCGGACTGCTGTGAATTCCAGTTCTTCTGGCTGTTTGATTTCGGGCAAGTGACTTAACTTCCCTGAGCCTCAGTTCTAGTCTCTATAAAAAAGGGATGACAGTAGACTTCATGTTGAATGAGCAAAGAATCAGACAAGTACCACATATAAAAGTACTTAGCTTAGTGCCAGGCACATACAGGAGCTCAGGAAATGCCAGCCACTGTCATTACTAGGTGGGACACAGACTGAAGGAAGTTTCTGCCCTTCCTTTGAGGCCTGACCACAAGGCTTCCTTACCTGCGAGGCAGTAACACGTGCAGCAACACTGTCGATTCTCATTATGCCTGGAAGTTACATTCTAGAGTCACCACGAACACTGAATTAGTGAACACTGAGCCACTGCTCCCAGGGGAAAGGCAGGGTGAGGCTCCTGTGAGCCTCTGGTCACATTTTCTTCCACCGATCAATACATGCCTAGTTTTATATGTTTCTGTTTTAAAACACTTTATTTAATATGTATTGTTGATTCATTAACATTGAGTTCACGGCCAACAGCCCGATCACTCCTGCCTGAACACAGCTTATCCAACACACAATTTCTCCATCGGGCACATCCCAGCCTTCCTGCGTGTGGAACACCAGACAGCACTTCAGCACCACAGCCTGGGCCGTGGTAAACACCAAAATCACCGACAAAAAGCACAAAAATGTGAAGTCAGCTTTCCATTGATGAGCCTTGTGCAGTGAAAGGGTAATTCCCACCAGGTGCCCTCCAGCACCCTGCCAGGCCCCCAAGTCCTGTACCTTCTCCTGCAGATTAATGTCACTGAAGACTGTCCCCGATTCCACACCCTCAGCAGCAAACCCGGCCTGCAGGTGACAGGAAGGCAGCAGTTAGCCTGGGGGAAAGGAGGCACCTGGCTGGTGTGAGGCCTGGCCAGGGATGTGGCTCTTCTCAGGCCACCTTTGGGATGGGAGGACAGAGAGGCAGTGTAGGCCGCTGTTCTGGAATAACTACTGAGCTCCCCGGGCCTGACAGCGGCCCTGTAAGTTCCTCCAAATCAGAGCCTAGGAGCAGAAGGCAGGAGTGGGGGAACCCTTCCACTACCTCTGATTTTCTGCAAGACCCTGGGCACGTCCCTCCCTCTCTGGACCTCAGTCTTCTTATTTATGAAACAGGATGACAATACTATCTCTTCTGCCTTCCTCACAGATTTGCTGGGAGGTAAAAATGCTACACAAACAAAGTGGGATGAGCACTGGCTCTGGAGTCAGACAGACCTAGGTTCAAGTTACAGCTCCGTCACTTACTGTGTCACCCTGGGCAAGCTGCAAAATCTCTAGGCAAGTTCTTTCCTCGTCTGAAAAATTGGATGAATAACTTCACAGGGTTACTGTGAGGATTAAATGAGGTAACGTGAAAGTGACGGGCATGGAACCCAACATATAGTAGGCACTTAACAAATGACAGTTGTCCTTCTTAGAAAGAAGAATTCCTAGTCCATAGTCCGTGGTCTCTGGAGGAAGCAAAGTTCTGCTGTCACTTCCTGCATGCCCTCCCCAAAGATACAGGCTCCCCAGGAGGGCACACGCACCTGGGGCTGGAAATCAACTGGTTCAAGGCCCCGGCACTCAAATTCCACTATCGTCTTGAACTTCTCGTTGTCTTCAGCCTAGAAAGGAAGTGTGTTGAGGAGGGGGCCCAAGTGGGCTCTCAGGATGACCCCATGGCCCCTGCCCTTCCTGCCAAGAGGGCCCTTACTGGCCCTGTGAGCCCAGAATGGGACCCAGGAGCAACTCCTCCCTTCCTGGAAGAAGGCTACTGTGGGCAAGTGCTCCCCATGACACCTTCCTGGACATGGATGCTGCAGAACAAAGAGTGTGGACTTGGGGTCAGCCTGCCTGGATGTGAGGCTGAGCTCTGCCCCTATTCCCCTCTGGGCCTAAGACTGTTGAGTGGAGCTGAGGAAACCACCGCAGGTTTTAAGAATTTGAAATGAGTGTAAAGTGCCCAGCATAGTACCTGCCACTAGGCTCAATAAATGGTAGATAAAATTATCAATATCAGGGGCCGTCCTGGTGGTGTAGTGGTTGAGTTTGTGCACTCTGCTTTAGCAGCGGCCTAGGGTTCATGGGTTCAGATCCCAGGTGCAGAGCTAGCACTGCTCGTCAAGCCATGCTATGGCAGCATCCCATATAAAATGGAGGATTGGCACAGGAGTTAGCTCAGCGACAGTCTTCCTCAAGCAAAAAGAACACTGGCAACAGATGTTAGCTCAGGGCCAGTCTTCTCCACAAACACACACACAAAATCAGTATCAAAAATATGAACAAGAATATTAAGCTACAAAGTCTCCAGATCACATCCAAATGGCCCCAGTACACGTGGCTGCAGCCTTCTGCTACCATCTGCCATGCAGTGAAGGCGGCAGCTGACTTAAAGTCCTTGAAATGGGATTTGCATGTGGAGGGGGCGCCTCTGCGGCGGGTGGTGTCTACCTGACCCATGGGCTCAGAGACTGCAAACACCACACCTCACATTCATTTTCATTCTGTCATTCACTGTAAAATCATTTCCTGCACACCAACCACGTGCTGGGCACTAATGAGGCCCTTCTCTGTTGGCCCTGGTTTGTTTTTTGTTTGTGGCTCTGTCTCTTCCACTAGATTATGATTTACTTGAGGGTAAGTCCTCATATGATTTCTCTCTTTAACTTCAGGGCAAAGGTGAGAATTTAGCATAAATCAGACGTTTAAAAAAAGTTCCAAATAAAGAATGATTGAACACAAGTAAATGCCCTTCTTTAAACAAACAGACCTAAAGCACACACCCCCTCCCTCACCATTGGACTAATTTGTTACGCAGTAACATATAACTACCTAATAATATCGACAATATCGAGGATGGGATGCACCATGCAAAGAACTGTCCCACCCATGGTTTCAGAGAAGGCTCACTAGTCCCACAAGGTGCAGACAAGGCAAGTGCTCCCAGTGATGGAAAATGAGTGGCCAGGTGGGTCAGCGGTCCGCAAGCTCGCAGCTCAGTCCTTATAAGAAGGCTGTGATAGCCTGTTGGAGTCTTTTCCCTCCCAAGCACTCTGTCAGTGTTTGCTGAATAAATGACTGACAGGGTAACAACTGACCAAGTAACTGGGCGAATGAATGAACAGGCAAATAAGTACATGAATGAATGTCCCGTGGCAGGTCACTCTGCTGCAGATATAACTAGATTCCAGGCCTCCTCGCTCCCAGCTTAGATTGAATCCCACCACACCTGCCACTACAGCAGGAAACTTACATTGTAAGATTTGATGGTGCTGCTCAGTATCTCTGAAACATAAAAGAGAAGACAAAGTTGACTTAAGTTCAAAGCCTGGTCCCACCCAGGTGCCCAGATGTGGCTCTCAGAAAGAAAGAATCTGCTGCGGAAGCTTGGGCACCTCAGGCCTGGGTCCACCCACAGGTCACATGGGTCTGCTTTCGGCCTGGTACCAGGAGGCTGGACCGGCCTGGCAGAGCTCAGTATTCACAGCCTGACCTACCGATGGAGTTTTCCCTTGCGCACAGCTTGCACTTCTGGACCATAGAGGCACTGCCACGGCCTCCCTTCAGTGCCACATTGTCCTGGCAAGGAGTAAACAGAAGCCCTAGTCATGTATCAATTAGATGTAAGGGTCTTGAGAAGACCCAGTCCCACCACTTATTATCCAGTTGAAGAGACCAAGACCCAGAGAGGGTGAGCAACTTGCTAGGACAAGAATCCTGGGGAGGCTTCTGGAGAGGGAGGAAAGGGCTTCTCCTTGATTTTGAACTCTGTCTCACAACCCAAAGAGGCCTATTGTTCCCAGTGTTGATCATCCTAATGCCTTACCTCCCCAACCACAAAAAGCAGCATCCAGGACTGGAGAGATTAGGGCCCTGGTTCCCCAAATCCCTAGCCAGGGGTGTGTGTGTAGTGGGGGAAGGAGCAGTTACCATCAGCCGGATGTATTGCCACTTGTCTGAAATCTCACCACAGTTGCCACATTTCATCTTGGGGGGGAAAAAAGAGCATTAGTAAAGTAGTTGGCTCACTTGGGCAGCCACTGAGGGAAGGGTAAGAACAGTGAGGGGGGCAAAGAACAGGTCAAAGTGTTTCTTGAACTGGTGTGCCCGCCCTCCTCTAACTAGTGCTCAGTCTGGCTGGGAATTCAAGGGTCATACAGAAATGGCCTCAGCAGGCCCCCCACCCACTCTGCTGGGTGAGAGCTTCCTCTGTGTTCCCATAGGCCCAGTAGGTCCCCGGCAAAAGTACTTATCACTCTGTTACACTATTTCTCATTCCCCAAAGAAGCCCTGACACTCGGCCTTCAAAATATTTGTCAATAAAGTGGTCAAAAGCCTTCCTGAAAAAGATAGCGCTTTCGCCAGGTACTGAAGGTTGCTGGGATTGAGATCAGAAGGAAAACAGAGCAGGAACTCTGGGAGAGTGAAGGGCCTCAAACTGCTCGGCTCAGAGGGGACTTGGGAGACCATGCCACCAGGATACCAGATTTACCAGCGTGGGTGGGGAAGTAAGGTGGAGCCAGGCACAAAATTCAACTACTTCACAATAAATTTTAAAACCTATCAATAAATAAAACTGAAAGTGAAATTATTCACCTTACTAGATAATCACAAGATCCCTTCAAGTAGCCTTTAGTTTAGTGTCTGTTTACAGACCATGAAATATTTAACGAGAGAAAAATTACAAAAGGAGTTCAAGGCACTGCCAATTAAGGGTTAACCAGTAAACTTAAAAAGCAAACAAAACTCTACCCAGAAAAAAAAATTAAAGGTTAAACATTTCTCATTCTGCCGGAGAAAGCTCCTGTTCAACACTGAGATCAGGTTGGGGAGCCTTTTCCCGGGCCCGGCCCCCTGGCACTCCCATCCGGAACCTCCAAGTGCCTACAGCCTCTCGGACGCTCCATCCCTCTTCCCTCTAGGACCCCGCCCCTCCAGCCGCACCTTCAGGTACCACCGGAAGTCCTCACCCACAGGCCGGAGGTGGGTGACGTTCTCCAGCGTGGCTTTGAGCTGCAGCGCGATTTTCTGCGAGAAGGGAGGGCCGGAGCGACTGCATCAGCCGCGCCTGCGCAACCCCACGCCTAGCCTCGGCCCCTTGCCCCGCCCTCCGGCACGAGTTCTGCCCCCCAGCTCCTTCTCAGCGCGAGCCCACTCCCCTCATTCCCTCCTGGCGCGAGCCCCTGCCTCTCAGGTCCTCGCCACCTCCCAGTCCCCGCCACGGTGGCGCTTCGCCTCCGCCTCACCCCCATGGTGGCCCCACTCAGGCTGGTGCTGCCTGCAGCCACTCCTTTCCGGCCTGTCGTAAACGGCGGCGTAAACTCTGGGTGCGGGCCTGCGCGGGGGCGGGGTCTTGGCGCTCCGTTGCTTCCCTGGCACAGAGGACTTTTTTATGGTAGGTGGAGTGAAACCTGCAGTAGTAGTCTGAGTGTACAATTAGCTGGTGCTCCGACTCACGAAAGCCTGCCTCCGGAAATCGGTAATTCCAGCTACCTAGTGAACGCCCATCTCGTGCCGGCGCTAGGCAGCAAACGGGACAGTCCCTGCCCGAGACCTCTGCCAGGGCTTCTTCCTGCCCCTGAGTTCTCTTTCCTGGCTCTTCACTACTCTGCTTTCCCTCACCCAGCCTCGCACTTAGTCCCTGCCTGCTCTCTGAGGCTTCTTAGATGACGTCGGTTCCCTCTGCCTACGGCCAGCATCGAAGAGTCGGGGATGGGGCCTTTTTCTCCTCCGAACTGCTCCTCCTTTTCTCCAGCGAGACCTACATTCTACGCCCCTCTCCAGACGGTTGCTCCGTGTACACGCCCTTCTCGTTGTGGTCCCCACGGCTCTACGCTTCCCTTCAGCTAGCTCTTTTCTGGGCTCCCATCTCGTTTTTCCTTATATCGTGCATTTACTGAAACTTGTTACTTGTTCTCTTGTCCAGGGCACGTCTGAGACCATACAGGAGCTCTGAGTGTTACAAGGAACAGGCCATTTGAGATTCCTTTATAGCCTTCTGAGGTCCTCACTGTCATTTCTTCAAAATTTGGAGTGACTGTTTTCGATGTCTACCACCAACTTCCTTCATTGCCCCAAGTACCCTTCTATAGCAAGGGATGCACTGGAGTCAGGGACCCTGACATCTCAGGCCCTAGCTCTGCATCTAACTTGCTACCCCATAATCTTTGAAGGAGGCAGAAGAGTGTGCGTGAGCGTGAGCAAGCACTGGCCTAGGAGTCAGAAGACTTGGGACTTGTCCCAACTTGGTCTGTCATGAGGGATGTGAGCTTAGTCTAATCACTTCTCCTCAGTCAGATGAGGCTTATCAAGGCCCAGTTCCTTTCAGCCTCCACAATCTGTTCAACCAGCAATTTGCCAAAGGAAGCTATGCAATTTAGCAGCAGAAAAAGTTCCTACACATCTATCCGCTGAACAAAGTCTCCATATTTTCTCTACCAACCAGGTCTTGCTTCTTAATGGCTGGCTGTTGGTATTCTGACTTTAAAATGGACTACGGGAAAACTTTTCTGAGACCAGGCGTTTTATCCCTTTATTTATTTATTTATTTATTCATTTTTGAGGAAGATCAGCCCTGAGCTAACTACTGCCCATCCTCCTCTCTTTTTGCTGAGGAAGCCTGGCCCTGAGCTAACATCCCTGCCCACCTTCCTCTACTTTATATGTGGGACGCCTGCCACAGCATGGTGTGCCAAGCAGTGCCATGTTTCCACCTGGGATCGGAACCTCGAACCCCAGGCTGCCGACAAGCGGAACGTGCGAACTTAACCGCTGTGCCACCAGGCCAGCCCCTGTCCCTTTAAACCAAAGTATTTCCCCCCATACTGAAATAGCTACAGATGTATCTATAAAAGATGATTTTAAAAACCCCAACCTCAATTATATCTCAATAAAGCTGGAGGAAAAAACCCCAAAAACCACAATACCATTTCACACCTAAAAAATCAATAACGCTTCATTAGTATCATCAAATATCCAGTGTTCAAATTACCTTAATGATGTCAATTTTACATCTTTTGAATCATGATCCAAATAGGGTCCAAACATATTGTCTTAAATCTCTTTTAATCTGTAGGTTTCTGCTCTATCCCTATTTATTTATGTCTGCAATTTATTTACTGAAGAAACTAGATGTTTTGCCCTAGTTTCCTCTGGATATTGCTGATTGGATTCCCACGGTAATTTAAAAAATATGTTTCTCTGTTACTTCCTGTAAATTGGTAGCTATGTATATACAGAGTTGATTAGATTAGATTTTTTGGCAATACTTTGCATAAGATGTTAGTGTTTTAAAAAGTGATTGAGAAGAGTTCACGTTTGGATCTTTATAAAATAATAAAAATTGCATTTTGTCATATATTTATTAAAGACAATCATTTACAGTTTATAAAAAAAATTGCCCTGATATACACAAAAATTTCCTGATAATGGTAATTAGAAACAGCTACTCCCACCCCCCTTGTGTCCACACCAATATTCAGTCTAGATTGGCTTAATCTTGAAGTGTAATCCAATAAGACTGAAGACCAAACACTTCAGGTCCTGGACAAGATAATAAAATACTCGTAAGCCTTCTGGATCCCTAAAACGCAAGAGGAAAAAAATGTTTAAAAAGCTGAGAAAAACTGGCCAAAAAAAAATACCATTTCATAACCCAGATTATTTACATACCAAGATGTTCCTCATACAGGCATTTACAGAACTAAAACTTTGAAAACAACCAAGTGTCCAAAAAGAAGGAAATGGCTATATATTAAAATGGAATATTAGGAGGTCAGCTAAAATGTTAAGGTTTTGTTTAATGGGGAAATGCTTATATCACTAAATGAAGAAAATCATGATTAAAATAAGATTGTTAAGCTCAGTTATATTTTTTGCCCTTTTAAAAAACTATATATTTTTTAGTGCACAGAAAAAAAGACAAGAAATACTTCAAGATATTAACAGTTGTCTACTTTATAAGTTCATGGGCAATTTTTCTCTTTCTACTTTTCTACATTTCCTGTATTTTCTACAATGAGCATGTATTACTTTAAGAATTAGGAAAACTTTTTTTAAAGAAGTAGTACTAAGCAAGACCAAGAGGCTAAAGCTTATTATGGCATAACTGGCAAAGAACATGGAGACTGTCCCAAGGAGGACAATTGTGTCCAGCATGTACTAAAAGTGAGCCACGTCTAACCCCAAATCCTCAAAACATAACAGCCCAAGTGGCTGCCACATTCTAAGGACTGTTTGTAGCATACAGATTCATGCCACAACTTTACAGTCTTCCCTAATGACAGCATGAATTTAAAAATTTATATTCTAAATAATTTCAGGTTTCACCAAAGTCAGACTTTAAGATGTATGAGTGTGAATGGCCAACACTGAGGAAGACTCAGTGACTCCAGAGGTTATCTCAAGCACTTGTTCTGGCATATCTGATTTTCTGTTCTGACCAGATTCTTAGCCACGATGGCTGCTCCTATGGCATTACTCTGTGTGTCATTGAGAAGCTCTTATTTGCAATGATGAATAAACAGCAAAAGCAATAGGAGCAAACCCTCGAAAATAATTTGGAGTCTCTCTCACATAAGGGGGAGAAAGTGGACCCATTCTGTCTTGCATTTGCACCAGATCTTATAATGGTCCCAATCTGGTTAAGGTTTTCATATCAATCTGCTCTAAAACCAACACAACTGGATATAAGAATCATGTACACTTACTTGGATTGATTGACATCAATAAGGGAACCGATTTTTGATGTTGTGAAAGAAATGTGTTCATCTCCAATGACAATTTCAAGCTCCTAAAATTATTTAAAAAAACGAAGTCAAGCTGAATTAGACTTTTCATCAAGCCCACAGAAGAAGGACTCACCATCTACCGAATCACACAAACTACTACAGATAGCCATACACACAAGGCCAGTCCACTCCAGCACTAGACTGTGTGGGTACTGGATACAAAAGAATAAATTAAACACTGATGTGGCCCTTGAGTAACTCATACTCTTAAAGGAAAATGTGTCTGCAAGGTTCCACCATTTCTGAGACTTGGAAGAATTTACATAGTGTTTTGTATATGAGTTTTCATTGTTAAAAATGTGGAGTAATATGGATAGATCTGTGTTTTACAAATACCAAGAACCTAACCTTTCTGGACAACATGAGACAAAGAAAAACATTCCAGACCTCGGGTTTGATCCCAGCTTTGTCACTTACTCATTGTATGACCTTGGGTTTCAATTTCTAAATAGCAACACAAGTAGCATAAACCTTTAAAAAATATCTATGGGAGGTGCCTACTGTGTGTTCTCAGTGCCTGGGACAGAGCAGTAAAACCAAAGAAAGACCTCTGCTCTTGTGGAACTTATACTTTAGTGAGCCCTACTTATTTTTCTTCTTCTTTTCCCTATTTCTTTTTGATTTACAGTTTTTTTAATTATGAAAAGAATTCAAAGAGAAAATGGAGAAAACTATGAGACTAATGTTCTCAACATTAAAATCAAATCTCAGCCAGATTTGAAAAACGTTAATATTTTGTCACACTTGTGCCAGACTTTTTCTTAAAGAAATCAAACATTACAATGTTTAGATCCACCTCGCCTTCCACTCTCCTTCCTGCACCCCCAGAAGTTGGAGTATATTCTCTCCACTTGTGTTTTTAGATTTGGTAGTATATTTTTAAAATTTTACATAAATGATCACACTATACATATGTTTTTGCTTTTTTCATTCAAGAATGTTTTTGTATGTAGATCTAGCTCATGAGTTTTAAATGCTTTAGAATATGCCATTCATTCTCTTATTGAGACAGTCTAAAGTTCCCAATTTTTGTTACTATAAACAATGTGGCAAGAATATTCTTCTATGCATTTCCTTGTATATATGTGAAAATGTTTCTAGGAAAATTCCTAGAAGTAGGGCAGAAGTATTTTCAACTCTGCTGGAGATACTACCAAATTGCTCCCTAAAGTAGGTGTATCAATTTTATTCCCACCAGTATATACGAACTCCCTTTTTCTTTCTTATATCCTTTTTAAAACTCGGTGCCTTTTTTTTTTTTTTTTTTTTTTTGCCATTCTAATGGGTCTGAAATAGTATCTCATTGTCCTAATTTTTATTTTTCAAATGAAGCTGTAAATATTTTCATATATTTATTGGCCACTATTTTTCCAGGTCTGTAAATCACCTATTCATAACATGTACACATTCTGCTACTTTTTCTTATTTGTAGTTCTTTATATATTCTGGATTTAAACCCTTTGCTAGTTATATATTTTGCAAATTTCTTCTTCCAGTCTGTGCCTTATCTTTCAACTTTATCTTGATGTCTTTAGCCAAACAGAAATTTTAAATGTAAAAGAAGTCAAATTTACCAATCATTTCCTTTGAGGAATTTAAAAACAACTT